AGTCATGTGACCCAGTTTTCCGCTTTCGTCAGTTCACGCGAGTTTTCGATAAAGGTTAACTTTTCTTCCTGATCTCGATTGAATAATGAAGTTAGTTGAGTATTCGAGAAAGAGAGAAGTGCTTTTATTAAACTCCCTTTGGTTTCACTAAATTTGTTAAAATCTGCTAATGAGGTTTCTTATTCTGGGTCAATTGTTTGATTAAAATCAAGAAATACTTTAACGAAGTGATCGGCTGATGATAGTTTGGGCGGTTCAATAGAAAATTAGTTTCAAACAAAATTTTTTTTTCTTGCATTTCACTCACTGACTTGACTGATTTTCACAGTTTTCATATTTTTATGATTGCATTTTGATCTCTTTTTTTTTTTAATCAGCTCAAACTCATCCGCCATTTTCCAAATCAATTACTCATAAATCAATGAGCTTTTATGCCCGAATTGGGTTTGAAAATTTTAAATACGTATGTGTTTCTCTGTATCAACAAAGGTAATTTGTCTTTGAGAAGGCATTTCTGGACGTCCATTAAATCTAACTTAGCCTGGCACAAGGCACCAGTAACTTGAGACTTTAAAGGGATCGACTTTGATATGCTAACAATAGGCTGGCACAAGGCACCAGTAACTTGAGACTTTAAAGGGATCGACTTTGATATGCTAACAATAGGCTATAAGACGAGCTAATCATTGTTCATGGCAGGCAACGAGAATAGATATTTACCAGGCTTATTCTCGTCCGATCAGTCAGTTACGTGCCATTCGGGACATACGGTTAGGCGATCATGTATCTTTCGATACATGACTGACGAGGCAGATTTTTTTCCAACAGTAGATTGCCATTTCTTTCTGCGGTAGGCCAGTTGCCATCCAAGGCTATAGAGCTCGGTCTGTACTGGGGGTAAAAAAGAGGATTCATACCTTTCCAAGGGTATTAGCACGTATGTGAATGCAATGGATTCGACTGTAAAATTGAATTCAAACTCGGCTCTCCGATTCCTCAATCCGAGCCTCTATCTATTACTCCACCGTGAGTAAATAAATAGGCATCTCATGAGATTTTAACTACTCAACTAACAATAGCCTTCAAGATTGACCACGTAAAAAAAACCTCTACGGCAGGACTTCTGTGTGAATTATTGTATATAGCTCTTTGTACCATTTGCTTACAATATTCTCTTCATTCTTTAGAAACTCTCTCTCTCTCTCTCTCTGTGTGTGTGTGTGTGTGTGCGCGCGCGCGTGCGCGAACGTTTCCACGGATAATGTAGTTCTTAAGTGTATCGATAGGCGTACGCGTTGCCGATTTTCATATGCTGATTTTCAAGGTGGACAGGTCTTACTTGGAATATTGGCGCAATACAGTCTTCCAACACTCACTTTATTCCATTTAGTTTTTGGTGTAAAAAACTAAACTTAGTAAATATATAAGAATGAATATACTTATATATTTCCCTAGCTTCCAACACAACCTAATCGTGCCATACAGAAAAATACAATTATCTCAAGTCATAAAGTTAAGTCTTTTGAATATATATTTACTAATAGTAAATTTTAGGCAAGCATAAGGCCATCGCAGTGTGGCACTCAATGAGAAATGAACTCGCTCCACAAGCCTCTTTATCAAAGATCTGTCGAAAAACTTTCTTAAATCGCTAATGAATATGCCTACAGATGATTATACTGTTTATGTACGCACTTTCAAAAGCAAAGATCATTCGAACCTTGCAGCCGATCTCTCCTCCGACCTACCGGGAAGAGCTCAATTCGCAAATAATTAGCTCAATGGGGAACTACTTTCAATAGCCAAAGCCGAAGCTGATATCGTTTCATCACCCTGAGTTCTCTCAAGCCTCGATGAATGGTTCAACTGTTAATAATACTCTATGCTTTGAGCATCTGTTGGGTTAACTCCAGACCTCAAGTGGAACACATATATACCAGCTTTCATTAACGAAGCTGGAAAAATAATTGACTCACCATATTGCTCCACCAATTATCTAACGCTTTCTGCTATGTTTTATCTTTAGAAAAAAAAAAGTCAGATCAGTCAAAAAAAGGGAATATCACAGACCCCTAGCTTTCACCAGTCACGACGAACGGTTGCAGTCTCAATAAAGCTCTATGATTTGGGCATCTATTGGGCCTCACGTTTATTCCAGATCGCAAGTTGAACACATATATACCAACTAAATAAACTGGAAAAAAAATTATTGACTCACTATATGTCTTCAGGAAAAAAGCTGTTCAATCTTCACTTTCCAGCCGAGAGAGAATTCAAAATCGATTACATGAGATTGTTGGGAGTTTGGGGCGACTTATTATCCACACTGCAACCTCGTTCCCACAAATGCAACGTTGTAAGACCGTCGCTACTCGATCGCTATCGCAATGGCGAATGTTTAGCAGAACGTCACACCTAGATTGAGACACATACTGCTAGGACACGCTATGTTACGTCCACCTAGTCGAATCGCCCTTATTTACCCCGTTTTCCTAATGTAAGAAAGAAGTTACACTGCAACGGATTTTATTAAGAAGACTCATGCCCTGGTGTTTCCTTGAACACTTCAATCTTGACCCCTTCAAGTTAAGGGTCAATTGTTATCTATCCTGATAATCCTACCACCTTCTCCTCCATTCATATCACATACCTCACTCATCATTACCATTAGAACTTCGACCTGGAATGTTTCGGGTATGACGATAAACTACATCCGGCAGCAAGGCTTTTGATTGGAAGGTTTTGAGGAGCATGGGTCCAACTTATAATTGCTGTTATTCCCAGGTCTAACCTGGCGCGTGGTGGTAGTACCTGTTAGGGTCCCAGCTAAAGGCAAATAGTAACCCCCCACCAAACAAAAACAAAACACTATGAAAATATAAAAATACCAGCAATGCATTTTTATATTTAAAAAATTACTAACAATACCTATTTATATAAAAAATGACCAACATGCATATTTATATTAAAATAACGAACAATACATTTTTCTGTAGTTGAAGGTATACATTTGCGCTCAAATGATATTTAATTGAAGCCATAAAGTATCTGTCTATATTTCTGAGATGAGTTATTATGTTTACTACTTATATTATTTGGACTATTGTCCTCATCTTTGTCGCCATATTTATTACAACGTTTCGGTCGTTGTACGCTCCGGCCTTCTTCAGGTGGTTGGAATTTCGAAATGAACCCTTTATTTCGCTCACTGGGGTAGACTGTTCTAGTTCCACGTGCCATGTTTAATGGATGTCAGTCATCAGTTATCTCCTCTTAATTCCCCTCTCCAAGTTCACCACTGCCTTAACCGGGTATTGAACTCACACTCTTTGAGTCCTGTATAATGTAAATAGTGTAAGAAAATTAACTTCTAAAGTCCACTAACTGTTATTTCTCTTTACAATATTGATGGGGGTTAACCTTTTCTTTGGAGTAGTGTGGAACACCAGTATCTTGATTATGTCATTATTTTTCTCGTGGAATTATATATGTCAAGGACACATGCCAAATTGGATGAAGGCGTTAGTTAGATCCAGTGACATGACCCAAAGAGTGTGAGTTCAATACCCGGTTAAGGCAGTGGAGAACTTTCAGAGGGAAATTAACAGGAGATAAACTGATAATTAAACATGGCACGTGGAACTAGAACAGTCTACCCCAGTGAGCGAAATAAAGGGTTCAGTTCGACATTCCAACTACCTGAAGAAGGCCGGAGCGTACTACGGCAAAAAAGTTGTAATAAATATGGCGACAAAGATGAGGACAATAGTCCGAATAATGTAAATAATGAAGCCATAAAATTATGTGCAATATATTTAGATTTCCGCTAAACAAAATCAATCAATCAACCATCTATGGGTAAATAGTGACCCCCACCCAAACAAAAACAAAACACTATGAAAGTATAAAGTACATTTTTATAGTAAAAATGCAAGCAATATATATTTATAATAAAATGACCAGCTAGAGTCAAAATATGAAATTTTATTAGGAAAAGAATTACCAGCAATACATTTTCATAGTAAAAAAAAAATGAAAAATTACCAGCAATACACTTTTGAAAAAAAAAATACCAAAACTCACAAGAAAATAAAATTTCGGCATTAAATTGATATGCCGTTAAATAAACGAAACCAAACCAAACCAAAATTGGGATGGCTCTCGAGCCTTGTATTGGGTGATACTTTACAACCAATGCTTTACATTAATCATCGCACCATGCCAACTAGCGACTTATTGTATATCATCTTATGAGTCTAAAGGCAATTTAAAATATCGTGTCGCCATTGCTTGGCACGAAATATGACTTGCGATCTAGTTTTCTTTTCAACTTATCAAAAGTTGAAAAGCATTTTTTAATTTTTTATTGCCATTTGAAATTCAAAGCGAATTCCTTTTATTCAAATGTTCATATGAATTTACCGCTATACCGGGATTTCATCAAATATCCGGGCAATGTCAGAATTGATCTTTTGTCGGTTGGCTTCAGCCGCTAAAATCGGTCATGCATAGTTCCTTTTGTGAAATGAATTCTACCACTTGAGAATATTTTCTCACGCCTAGCAACTTCGCAAATTCACTTGAAAACAGTCAATATTCTTTGAATAATGTCGAACAGAGTCTGTTTTCTTTATTGTGTGTAGTCGCTATTTTGCGTTAAATTTTATTAAGTCTAATATCTTAAGGACAGGTCGAAAAGTATGAATTTTAATGAAAATCATATTTCATTCAGGAAAAGTGTTATTTCCATCTTTTTTGTCAAAATACATCAATTTCCTGACCTTCTTTAATTCTAAATTGACCGGCTATTACTCCGTTATTTCAATTGATTTTATGCGATGGAGACGTTAATATTTATTGAATAAATATTTATTTGCTTTTTTTTTTTTTCTGCGAGAGAATATATTGACAAAGAGAATGAAATGACTCTTTTAAAGAAATCAAACGTTTCGTGTTAACTATTCCTTTTTGTGCACATTTTGGCTGTAAGGTTCAAAAAAATGTTGCGTTTAGAGCTTCCTCCTCTTCTTTTCTTCTTCTCTTCGTCGTCTTCTTTTTCTTCTCTTCGTCGTCTTCTTTTTCTTCTCTTCTTCGTTTAAGTTTTTGATTTTTCTTTCTTGAGATGATTGTGGCTTCAGACTTATTTTAATCGGGCAAATCACTGCTGCTCGAAATAGATTCCCCTTTGCCAATGCTAAGAATAACGAAAACATATTACTATCATTTTATCATTACTCCTCGGGGAAAACTATTTTTGTCATAATACCACAGATGATTCGAACTGTTATCTTAACCTTTCTTGTTTTTAACACATTTTGCCCGATATATTCTTCGGGCTTCCTGTATTGTGTAAATATTTTTTATTAATTTCATTTTTCAGATTACTTCTTCATCTTGGTTATTTGCAAAGGCTTCGACCGATATAATCTTCGGTCTTCTTCAGAAATGTTGTTATAAATGTTGTTTAGCAGTTTCTTGGTACATTTTCTTTTCTTTCGTCTTCTTTTTTCTTTTCTTTCTCCTTTTTTCTTTTCTTTCTCTCGCTTTTTTCTTTTCTTTCTCTTTTTCTTATTTCCCTCTCTCTCTCTTTTTCTTTTAATCCTCTTTTCTTTCTTCTTCTCTCTTTTACTTCTATTTCTTTCTTTCTTTTTCATTTTCCATTGCCATCTCATTTTTCTTTAAATTCTTTTTCTTTCTTTCTTCCTCTTTTATTTTTCCTCTCTTTATCATTTTCTTTTCACCCACCATTTTTTCACCAGCCTTCTTCTTTCTTCCTCCGGCTTTTCTACATTCTTCCTCCTGATTTTGAATTTTTCCTCCACCTTTTTCTTTTCTACCTTTCTTTTTCTTTTCTTCCGCCTCTTTTTTCTCTTTTTTTTTCCACCACCTTTTTTTCTTTTCTTCCTCCTCTTTTTTTCTTTTCTTCTCTACCTTTTTTATTTTCTTCCACCTCCTTTTTCTCTTTTCTTCCTCCTCTTTTTTCTTTTCTTCTCTTCCTTTTTTCTTTTTTTTCTTTTTCTTTTCATCCTCCTTTTTTTTTTCTCTTCTTTTTTTTCTTCCGCCTCCTTTTTCTCTTTTCATCCTCCTCTTTTTTCTTTTCTTCTCTTCCTTTTTTTCTTCCGCCTCCTTTTTCTCTTTTCTTCCTCCTCTTTTTTTCTTTTTTTCTTCCTTTTTTTTTTTCTTCCTTTTTCTCTTTTCTTCCTCCTTTTTCTTTTTTCTTCTTCCTTTTTTTTCTTCGCCTTTTTCTCTTTTCTTCCTCCTTTTTTTTTCTTTTTTTCATTTCCTTTTTTTCCTCTTTCTTCCTCCTCTTTTTTTTTTTTTTCTTCTCTTCCATTTTTTTTTCTTCCTCCTCTTTTTTTTTCTTCTTTTCTTTTTTTTTTTTTTCCTTTTCTTTTCTTCCTCCTCTTTTTCTTTTCTTCCTCCTTTTTTATTTTTTTCCTTTTTTCTTCTTCCTCCTTTTTTTTTTCCTTCTCCTTTTTTCTTTTCTTCCTCCTCTTTTTCTTTTCTTCTCTTCCTTTTTTTTTTCTTCCTTTTCTCCTTCCTCCTTTTTTCTTTTCTTTCCTCCTTTTTTCTTTTCTTCCTCCTTTTTTTTTTTTTTTCTCTTCCTTTTTCTTTTCTTTTTCCTTTTTTTCTTTTTTTTTTTTTTCCATTTTCTCTTTTTCTTCCTCCTTTTCTTTTCCTTTTTTTTTTTCTTCTCTCTTTTCTTCATTTTTTTTTTCTTTTCTTCTTTTTCTTTTCTTTTTCCTCCTTTTTCTTTTTTCTTCTTCCATTTTTCTTTTCTTCTCTTCCTTTTCTTTTTTCCTCCTCTTTTTCTTTTCTTCTCTTTTTTTTTTTTTCTTCCTCCTTTTTCTTTTTTCTTTTCTTTTTTTCTCTTTTTTTTTTTTTCACCTCCTCTTTTTCTCTTTTCATCCTCCTCTTTTTCTTTTCTTCTCTTTTTTTTTTTTTCCGCCTCCTTTTTTTTTTTTCTTCCTCCTTTTCTTTTTCTTTTCTTTCTTCCATTTTTCTTTTCTTCGCCTCCTTTTTTTTTTTCTTTTCTTCATCCTTTTTTCTTTTTCTTCTCTTCCATTTTTTTTTTTCCTCCTCCTTCTTTTCATTTTTTTTCTTCTTTTTTTTTTCTTCCGCCTCCTTTTTTATTTTCTTCCTCCTCTCTTTTTTTCTTTTTTCTTTTCTTCTCTTCCTTTTTTTTTTCTTCCGCCTCCTTTTTCTCTTTTCTTCCTCCTCTTTTTTCTTTTCTTCTCTTCCTTTTTTTTTTTTCACCTCCTTTTTCTCTTTTCTTCCTCCTCTTTTTCTTTTCTTCTCTTCCATTTTTCTTTTCTTCCTCCTCTTTTTTCTTTTCTTCTCTTCCATTTTTCTTTTCTTCCTCCTCTTTTTTCTTTTCTTCTCTTCCATTTTTCTTTTTTTCCGCCTCCTTTTTCTCTTTTCTTCCTCCTCTTTTTTCTTTTCTTCTCTTCCTTTTTTCTTTTCTTCCGCCTCCTTTTTCTCTTTTCTTCCTCCTCTTTTCTTTTTCTTTTTTCTTTTTCTCTTTCCTCTTTCTTTTTTTTTTCTTTTCTCTCCTCCTTTTTTCTTTTCTTCTCTTTTTTTTCTTTTTCTTCCTCTTCTTTTTTTTTTCTCTTTTTTTTTTTTCTTCCTCCTTTTTTTTTCCTTCATTTTTTCTTTTTCTTTTTCTTTTTCTTTTCTCTTCTTTTTTTTTTTTTCCGCCTCCTTTTCTCTTTTATTCCTCTTTTCTTCCTCCTCTTTTTTTTTTTCTTCTCCTTTTTTTTTTTCTTTTCTTTTTTCTTTTTTCTCTTTTCTTCCTCCTCTTTTTTCTTTTCTTCTCTTCCTTTTTTCTTTTCTTCTGCCTCCTTTTTCTCTTTACTTCCTCTTTTTTCTTTTCTTCTCTTCCTTTTTCCTTTTTTTTTTCTTTTCTTCCTCCTTTTTTTCTTTTCTTCAGCCTCCTTTTTCTTTTCTTCCTTCATTTTTCTGTTTTTTTTCTTTTTTCTTCTCTTCCTTTTTTCTTTTTTTCCGCCTCCTTTTTTCTCTTTTCATCCTCCTCTTTTTTCTTTTCTTCTCTTCCTTTTTTCTTTTCTTCCGCCTCCTTTTTTCTCTTTTCTTCAGCCTCCTTTTTCTCTTTTCTTTCCTTTTTTTTTCTTTTCTTCCCTTTTTCTTCCGCCTCCTTTTTCTCTTCTTCTTTCTCCTTCCTTTTTCTCCTTCTTTTTCCTTCCTCCCCACTTTTTGTCTTGTCTTCCTCCTAATTTCCTCTTCTATTTGAGAATAACAACAGAATTAGCATAATGCAGACAATAATCCGAAAATCTATGCAATAATGAACAGACTTAATTTCAGATATTTCGAAAACAGCTATTTTCGTAATCCTTGCCGTGTATTTATTACCTTTATTTCTTTGATATATTTCATGTGCGCTGATTTTCCTGCAAGCTTTGTGTAGAGATCATTACAAAAGATTATTTTTTATCAGGCTTTTGGCTATATCTAGAAATAAAAATGGAAAAATAAGCCTCCTTGTTTGGTCGCCAAAGAGTCTGTTTTCTTTTTGTCGCTAAATATCAATCGAAACGTTTTCTTTTACCTGCTCATCATTATCACCATCAGTCTCATGACCAGATGTTCTCGTGGGGTCGCTGAGCAACCGAGCACCTGACAAGTTCCCTCCACATGAGAGCCGGAGAGGAATTCATTCATGTGCAGTGTTTCTTGAGCAATTAGACCTGACAGAGCCCATCCCTCTCCAGGTCAGACTACTGACTTGAAAGATTGCCTTCATTACGGACTTGACACCTGATTTAATCGAAGGGAGAAGCCCCGCCTTGGCCGCTAATTTATTTCTAGTATGCACTCCACCCAGCGAAACCGTGTCATTGTCATATAGGAATAAAGTGTTGTTGATGACACTTGTGTTTGAACCTAGATCGTCAGGAAACAAAGACATGCGATCTCATTAAACTAGGTAGATCACGTGACCATAGAGAAAACGTATATATAGTCGCGGGACGTCTAGATATGTTCGCTCTTCTCGTCTTGGGCACCTCGGTGTGGTGTAATGGTAAGCACGCTTGTCTCGCTAGAACATATTACGACTGAGTAGTGAGTTCAATCCTCACTGGGTGCTCCATAGTTCCGGCCTTGTGCCACATCTAACCAGCGCTTAGAAAATCGCTATTCTAGTATATCCCTTATACTACGAGCTCGCTATTTCTCTTCTATCCCCTATACTATATGGATCTCCATGTCTGTCTTCTATTACTATTCGAACTGCTATTCTCTATACTATTTCACTATACGAAGTACTATTAGTACGAATATTATTCGAAGACGTCTGACACTAGTATTATTCAACGGCGTATTATAAATGGTATCTGCGATTAGAAAAGTCTCTACTATGTTGGCATAAACTATGGATAAATAGTGACCCCCCACCAAAAAAAAAATGAAAGTATAAAGTATATTTTTATAGTAAAAATACCAACAATATATATTTATAGTAAATGACCAGCTGGATTCAAAATATAAAACTTCATTAGGAAAAGAATTACCAGCAATTCATTTTCATAGTAAAAAAAAAATGATCTCCAAAAAAATTCTTACAATTATAAAACTCTTTTCTGACCTTAAATAACCTGCAAAGAGTTGATAAGCCGTAGAAAACGAACCAATCAATAACCAGAGAAGCCTGGTGGGAGAACGGGCTTATTCGCCGATATCCCGACCATGTACAAACTACTGAGTTACATGGGGCCGTTATAAATGGTATAAATACACTTTTGTCTCCCTTCATGAAACAAGATTGTTTCCGGATGGAGTTTGACAGCTGTCTTATTAGTGGGTATTTTTAAACAAATTTTGCCAAAACTGGTGGAATTTTTGTTACATCGAAAAAGAAATAAATTAAGCAAGATTTTAAGTACTGTTTTTTCTTATTTTCATGAGGGAAACATGGAATTTAAATGCAAAGCAAACATGAACAAACTATCCTCATACCTTTCGTATTCCATTGGTAAAAAAGGAATTTCCATACAAACAGCTTCTTCCGAAGAGCTGCTGCTTTGTGAAATCAGCAGCTCTTGGCAAGAAGAGCTTTCTTGTATTGGTCACACAATACCACTACAACTCTCCGGTCAACCATTATCTATTCTTCGGCTCTCATAATCTTCAATTCTTACGTTCACAAAAAACAGCCCCATTCTGTAACCCTCTACCCTCAGTGAAGCGTATAATGGGTGAACAATCGCATAAAAATATGCAATATATCGCTAGACTATGATCTTCGGTTAATCAATAAAGTTTGATATTGAGTCAATCATAACTTTAGAATCATCAATATACAACAGCCACACAAAACCCACTTTAAAATTCATTTGTACCAGTTTGGTTATGTTAGTTACTTTGATGTGTGGCTTCTGCATTAAGCTAAGCAAAAACAAAACAAAAATATTGGGCTTTATTTGATTCTAGTTTATGAAATAAACTGTGACGTGCAAGAAAAAGTTAATATGAGCCTTATAAGAAAATCGGTTTTATCACTTTCCTGCCTTTCTGTAAACAGTTTAAATGTTTTTAATAGATCGCGTAATATACCGTGACTTACACGACTTACAGTTTAATTTAATTCACCTGCTTTGGGCTCTTCACTGTGTTGCAATGGTTAATAACATCGCCATTCTTACATCTTTTTACTGCTGTAATATTAGTAGACATGGTGGAGTAATGAATATTGGAAAGCCGAGTTCGAATTCCAGTCGAATCAATTACATTCACTTACGTGCTAATACCTTTGGAAAAGGTATGAATCCTCTTCTTCTCCCCATCAGCTACGAGTAAATAGCAGGACAGACCGAGTTCTATAGCCTTGGATGGTCTACCGCTGAAAGAAACGGCAATTTCCTGCGGGAAAGAAAATCTGCCTCGTCAGTCATGTATCCAAAGATACATGATCGCCTAAGCGTGTATCACGCATGGCACATAACTGACTGAATATTAGTAAATATCAATTTCATCTTCGTTGCTGGGCATTGCCCGAAATTATGAACGTGTAACTAAGAGATTTTTTTTTTGATTTTTTAAATTGTTATAAACACTAAAATCAAAATGAATATCCAAAAAGGGATTAAAACCTCATGTTTGAAATTTGATATAACAGTCCCAAAGTTTTCTAAATCGTTCATCTTCTTCAAATTTAATCGAATTTATATTTAATTTATCGTTAATGTTTTCTCTAATTACTCGAGTATAATGATTCGTCAGTTGCTTCTGTGGGTAATTGAAGAAGGACTGGAAAGCGTGAGTAATGAATTCTAATGCTTTGTCGCTTTACTGCAAATTAAACACCGCTTATATTCCTTCCAGCGAGTCAGTTGTACAAATGAGATGCTGTTTATTCCAAAAGCCTGTAAACATGTCGTAAACAAGGTCAAAGATTTGGACCGTTTATTCTTAAAGCTAAACAAACGCTGGTGAATTTTAAATTATGCCTCTTTCCACAGGCATCTTTGATTCAAATAATGTCAAATATCGCTTAGGATTATCAATAAATAATTAATTTAAATCCGAGTTTCCTTTCTTTCTTAAGCCTTTCATACAACGCCATAATGAAAGTAGCTCTAGTTTTTAGCAATAATTCAAAGGATTTAATATCAGAAAACTGATAAAGCGTTTTGAAATTATTCCATATAAGATCTTTGTTTATACTTATCAGAAAGTCGAGTGTGATATAAAACCACCATCATAACTAAATGTCAAAAACCATCTGACATTTAATACCTTTGGGAAAGGTATAAATCCATCTCTTCACTCCCCAAATATGGGTTAATTAGCAAGACTTGTATTATTATCTCCAAAAAAATTTTTACAGTTATAAAAATATTTTCTGACCTATTTAAGGTTGCAAAGAGTTGATAAGCTGCAGAAAACGAATCAATCAATCACCAGAGAATCCTGTGGGAGAATAGGTTTAATCGCCGACATCCCGACCATGTGCAAGCTACTGACTTACACGAGGCCGGTAGCACTCGTATAATGACCTGGTAGGAATACACATTTGCCTCCCTTCATGAAACAAAATTGTTTCTAGATAGAGTGTGACAGCTGTCTTATTAGTGGGTATTTTTAAACAAATTTTGCCAAAACTGGTGGAATTTTTGTTACATCGAAAAAGAAATAAATTAAGCAAGATTTTAAGAAATAAATTAAGCAAGATTTTAAAACGGCTCCATAAACACACCACTGATATCCTTCAGGACGGTTGGGTAGTGAGTTCGTTATGTGTTACTGTCATCTATTGGTCAGTAGATAAGCAGGTGAAATACTAATTCAGCAGGTACGAACAATAACAGGCACAAAATATTACAATAATCAACAGATATCCCATATCACCCAATCAATGGACACCTGATGATGAGCAGTGGGGGTTTGGTTGAAACGTATGTATAATATCTATATCAACCAAGAAATAATACAAGTATATTAGCCATTACTCATCTGTGAAATATCGCTTATGACCATATCACGCTGAAACACCGGTTCCCGTGCAATCACCGAAGTTAAGCAATGTGTTACTGTCATCTGGAGGTCATAGGATCAAGTGATGAAGCACCAATTCAGTATGAACGAACACGAACTGAAATCACAGATACAACTATCACGATAATCAATAGATATCCCATATCAGCCAATCAATGGACACCTGATGATGACCAGACGCTACTTGGTCGAAATGTTGTGTCTATAATAATATTTCAATCAGGATGAGAACAATAATTTGAAATAACACAAGAAATGAAATACCAAATTATGTAAAGCGGCTCGAACCCATTATCATAAACAAATGTCAAAACCTATCTGACATTAAATATAAAGCGGCCTCAAGGACGTCATCACTAATATATTTTGGTATGGTGTCGTAGTGAGGGTAGGAGTTGGTTCTACTTGTGTTACTGTCATTTAACGGTTACAAGTTCAATCCTTGAATCATGTTGCGAAGTAGCAATTCAGCAAGTGCTGACAATATCTGATTTTGTGGGATATATATTTTGTCCCTATATTCTGTGATATCACAGGACTTTTAAATCATTTCACCCTAAGAAAGGCTATAATGCCACTAAGATGCAAAGAGCTACTGGGAGTGAAAGAGAATGAGACGACTTTAATGAGGAGAAAGGATAATAAAAATAGCATTCTGTTTGATAAAGATAGCGAAGGGTCAAAATATCACAACAATTAAGAGCTATCTCATATCAGC